GGAGTGAATGGAAATACATTAAAGGGCGCTGCTGTCTCAATCTTTAAGAGACTGCTTTTCTTCACATACACTTATCTAACAGTGATGTGGCTATTAGCTGGTTTTCTGGCTTTCTTGTGAATGACACTAAGTGATGCAGGGCTTAAAAAAAGCAAAAAAAACACAACAACAACCATGATGCCAGATGGACAATTACAGGAGAAAACCGGCATTTCAAAAATTCTTGAAAAAGTTGGGTGATATAAAAAGTTAACTTGGTAACAATTTGAAAAGCCTCTTGGACTTACCGATCAGGTTAACGGTTCAAATCCCCACAATGGGGTGAGCTCCTATTGTTCTGTCCCTGCTCCTGCCAACCTAGCAGTTCAAAAGCAAGCCAGAGGAAGCAAATAAATAGGTACCGCTGAAGCGGGAAGGTAAATGGCATTTCCGTGCGCTCTGGTTTCTGTCACAGTGTTCCGTTGCACCAGAAGCGGTTTAGTCATGCTGGCCACATGACCCAGAAAGCTGTCTGTGGACAAACACCAGCTCCCACGGCCTGAAAGCAAGATGAGCGCTGCACCCCATAGTCACCTTTGACAGGACTTAACTGTCCAGGGGTCCTTTACCTTTTATCCATTTTCTCAAAGACAGTCCCTGCAGACTCCACTGCTCCTCTCTACAGGTATTCACTAATGTTTCTAGTATAATGAACTATAATAGTAATAATAATAATAATAATAATAATAATAATAATAATTTATTTATACCCCTCAGGGAGGGCTCCACTACTATAACACTCTTCTGCATTTCTGCTATCAAATTCCCAATTCTGTGGATTTTCTCCCCGCGCCCCCGCCCCCCACACACTGTGAAGGCTTTTAAATGACATGAAAGCATGTGTGTGTGGAGGGGGCGGGTCGTCCCGGGCACTGCTCTAGGGGGTGACAAGATGTCCCGCTGCCTCCCCCAAGCTGTAGAGCAGCGGAGGGTGTGCACGCAGTGTGGGCGGCGCTTGTGCGGCGTCCGCACAGTGTCCCGCTTGCACGCAGCATCCTTACGGGTGTCTGTATGGGCTGCCACGCGTGCGCAGTCTGTACGGACGTTGCATGTGCGTCACTGGGCGGTTCACCCGGCCCCTTGGCATCCCGCCCCATGTGACAGAGAGGGTTCCTCCACCACTGTGTACACACCAGGAAAATGTGCAGGTGTATTGCAGTGGAGCATTGTGCGCAGATTATAATCACATACCACCAGTTCTAGATTTTCTTTTTCGAAAGTCCTGAAGTGTTGTCCAAGTCATTGCATATTGGGGTTGGAAAAACCAGGCTGAGGTTCTAATGCAACTGAGTCTCTGTACAAGTTGAGGCCCAATCAAAGGGTGTGACAGGTGTGCCCAGGAACATCCTAATGTTTTTCTTGTTTTGAAAAAAAGAATAGGGATCATGGTGAGGGGGAGAAAGTACAGAGCAGTGACCCAGCTCCCTCAGCTGCCAAGACCTGTGAGGAAATGGCTGTGAGGGACAGACAAAGGTGGGAGAAGGAAGAGGCAGACAGAGAGAGATGAAGGCAGCAGAAAAAGTCTGGAATGGATCTGCAGCTACTGCCTGTGTCTGTCTGTGGATCCATACAAACCCTTTTTCTTCTGCCTGCATCTGCCTATGTCTCACGGCTCTTTCTCTGTCTGAGCTCCACTTGCCACATTTTGCTGACACCTGGTGAGAGACATCTCATTCTCTAGGAGAGAAAGATGAAGAAACCTTAAGGTGTTTTGCTCAATTTGGGTTAGCTCATTATCTGACTGTGTTCATGGAAGACAATCTTACTGGACTCTGAGTGATCACCAAAGAAGAAGATTATCTAATTAAAGATAAAAATCATGAAAATCAATTGTCTCTTTGTATATATCTGGTTATCGATATAGCAAAAATTTAGTGTTTGTATCTCATTTTTTAAATTTGTACATTTTTAAAGCAAAGTTTAATTGTTAGTTTGACTTCCCCCTCCTTTGTCCCTAGAGACAGACAGATGCCAACCATACTCTCAGCAACTACAAGTTATACAAAATAAGGTATTCCCAAGATCAAAGCTGTAGAGGTGGTTCAACATTATGCTACAGACTCAATTACTTTTATTAGGGAAAGGAACAGAATATGCAATGTAAAAAACATTAAATTAAAATGGAGAGCAATTATGCTATGAAGAAACTGTAAAGCAATAGCGTTGAGAAAAAGAAACAGCCCCAATTCACTACCAGGCACCAGATGCCTTCAGCAACAATAGTGTATCTGCAGGAAATCTTACCACAGTGTATGTATAGATGTGTGTGTGTGTGTGTGTGTGTGTGCGCACATCCCTTGATTGAATTATGAAATTAGGGCATGAAGAGAAAGTGGTAGATATACATATTTGGATTTTAGTAAAGCCTTTGATGCAGTGTTTCATAAAATCTTACTCTTGAAATGAATTCAAATTGGGTTGAACAGGAACATTCATGTGGACAAAAAACTGGCAGGGGGACCTTAAACCAAGGGTAATCATAAACAGCAAATTTCATGCAAGGAAGTGTTTTAAGGCAGGGAATAGTTCCAGTTCACGTCTTAGCTAATAGCTTTAAAAGTAACAGAATTTCACAGGAGTGAAACTCACCCATGTACATTTTTAGCCTGGACCTGGGGAAAGAATGTCCACTTTTGTGTTTAATGCAAAAGTAGGGCACCTCAAGTCAGGGGCCAAATGATAACCTCCAGAACTGACTATTTGACACTTACATCCCTGTCCAGGCCACATGCTGTCTCCTTAGGCCACACTCTTTGCTGGTCCTGCTTTGCTGGTCCCAAGTGTGTTTGCCTGGCTAGATTGTGATCCTGAACTCTGCTAAACCCTCTGTTAAGAGAGGCCATCTTACCTATCACTCCTATAAGCTCTGCTCCCTGCTTTGTTGGCCTATTTCAGGGGAGTTTTTAATGTGTGACATTTTGATGTATTTTTAATCCTTGTTGGAAGCCGCCCAAAGTGGCTGGGGAAACCCAGCCAGATGGGTGGGGTACAAATAATAAATTATTATTATTATTATTATTATTATTATTATTATTATTATTTCCACCTGGCCTGGGAGGGCAGAGACCAGACTTACTCATGCTTCAAAAGCTGCTCCTACGGCTGAAGGGGCCCAAACCATCTTGTTACTCGTCCAGAAAGACCTGCTACTCAGGATACATGGAGACTATCGGAATGGGGGTTTATTTAGGAGGGGATCAATAATTAATTTGAGGAATGCATTATTTTTCATCATTCTTGTTGCTAAACCATGTTGTGAATTATTTGGGACTTGTTTCATTTCATTGTGTGTTTATTGAGAAGTTTTTGTTAGGTTTTTTATTATTTAAATGTTATATGTTTGTAGCTGTTAAGGAGGAGGCCCCATATGTACTTAAAGCAGACGTGACTTTAAACAGACATGGCTTCTTCCAAAGAATATTGGGAACTGTAGTTTGTTAGGAGACCTCTATTCCCCTCACAGAGCTACAATTTCAATAGTGGATTTTCAGTCAGTTCTGCTTCCCAGCCTGAGAGGTCAAGGGAAGCCAACAGGATTGTATTCCTCTCCTCCACCACCCTCTCCTGACTGGGGCATCATTAATCAGGGTGACCAAGGCTGATTTGGTGCCAAAACTGAGTCTGAAACCAGACTTCAATGGATCCAGGATCCACTTCCTCCAGCCATATCTGCTGTTGGCTGGCCTCCACCCTCATCACCTTGCTGAGAAAAGGAATATTACAGACTGGGTGGTAATTTTCCCCAAACTCTGAAGACCTCTTCAAGAGGAATCACACCACTGCCTCTTTCAAGGTGGTGAGCATACCTCACTCCTGTGATGAGTCATTGACCACTCCCTGGACTTGCCTAGTCAATCCCCACCTCCTAGATTTTATCAGCCATGATGGGCAGGGATCAAGAAGATGGCCTCACCACTGCAAGCATCCTGTCCAGAACTTCTGAGTGACTATATAACATCCATTCTGAAGGAACTGCACTGGTTGTCTATTTAATGTGTTAATGTTAACATGCAGACAACTTGAGACCTGGGCGTCTGACAAAGCACCTCTCCGCAGGTCATTCTCCCTGGGCTATGACAGTAGCACAGAACGCTGTTCTCCAGAAGTGGCTTAGCAGGCTGAGTAGAGCTGCTCTACTAGCTTCCCAGCTAGTCAGACATTGTTGTTTAGCAGAAGGGGCAAGGCAGTGGGGCAGCCAGCATAGTGCAACTAATTAACAGGAGCACCAGCCTTCCCACCCTGCCTATCAGGAATCTAGTATAGTAGCTGCTCCCCAATGGGTCAGCTGCTTCTGCTCTACTCATCTCCCAGATGAGGGCAGTTAGTGACACAGTGTAGGGCCTTGTCTATGGTGGTACCTCAGCTATGGAACTCTCCCATCTGGAGTCACTGATGCTTTATTTTTCCATCTGGCCTGGGAGCATGGAGCCCTGACTGACTCCAGCTACAAAAGCTGCTGAATGGACTAAGGTATTGTTTAGGGTGTTTTGTTAGGGCTCTTTTGATGTTGCTATTGATATTAACTTTTGTATCTTTTTTAGATCTTATGATTTATGTGAAAATTGTTCAGCTTGGTTGTGTACCTTTTGATGTTTTTTTATTTATTGTTTATGACTACTTTCGTTATGTTGGTAATTATGTAAATCTTTTCCTCCTGTAAGTTGCCTTGAGCATGATTTTAACCATGGAAAGGTGGCATACAAATAAAATGACTATAATGATATGGAGTGGGGGGCAGGTTGCAGGAGCCAAGAACTTTTAACTTCCTTGAGTTTAATAAATATTTCCACTTGACAAAATTAAATTTGTACAGAAAATCATTTTTGAAATCTCTTTACAAATTCCACCATAAATGAGCTGAAGCATTTTCTGCTTTCCCAAATCCTCTGAGGCAGGGGCTAAGCATTAAATGTATAGAAACCCTATTTCTCCTTCAAGAAGTAATCCAAAACAAAGAAAAAGCAGTTTTGATTTCAGATTTATTTTATTTGTAATATGGTTTGCATTCTCTGTGAGTGCTAAGCAAAGAGCAAAAATATATTTCCGGAAATGATCCTGCATTAATTCTTGTTTTCGTAGCACAAAACAATGCAATTATCATGCAGATCTGTGTGTTCCATGGATTCTTTGGCATGCTAATAAGCAACATGTTTGCAACAAAGACAACAAATCTGAATAAGCAAATCAAATTATATTTAATAATATGCACAATAAATCTTAAAAGGAAACATCATGTTGGATTCTCAGCAAGTTAAACAACATTTGGGGTGCATTCAGCTTTAGACAGACATTTCTGCTTTATATGCAATCAGATATATTGACCACTAAGTCTGGGGAAAAAGAGATCACTTAAAGCCCAGACAATTGTTCCCTCCAAATACTTTTTCATTACATTTTATAGGCATTGTTTGGCTGATTTTTTTGCCATGATATGTATTTAATATAAAAAAGTGAAGATAGCAGAGGTGTCGATGGCATGCTTAATTAAATTATGAAAGTCTAATGCATTAGTCTACAAAGATGGAGATCAGATGGTTCTCCCAGAGAAGTAAAACTCACAAGTGCTAAAACTCGATTAGAAGATTTCATGTCCTTTCTGTGCGTGCATCATGCAGATGTGCATGAACCGGTTTCTTCCTCCCTTTTCTAGATATGGTGATAAATATCACAGAGTAAGATGGCTCTGGAGGGTTGCTTCTTCCAGCTGCACCCACAAGCTGTGCAGAGAATGGCAAGTCTCACTTTCCTTCTGCGGCATAAAAACAGATACACATACTCCGTTATCTCTGAAAAACGGCATTCCACAAAACAACCTAATTCCCATGAATGGTGAACTTTTTTCCCCTTCTTCTTCTTCTGCTTCTTTCCATTACCTACTTCTAGCCAGTGGTTTTACTTATTGCGCTGGACGTCATCGAAGGAGATGTGTGCAGACCTTCCTTTGACATGTAGACGACACAGACAGTCCAGTACAGTTTGCAAAGCATTTTGGTTTTAAGTACTTCAAAGAATGCTCTCCTCTTCAAAGTCAAATTTCACCACCACTGGCCGGCTCGTGTTCCACTTCTTGCTTCGATCCTTATCCTCAATGAACTCCTGGTAAGGATCTTTCTTTGAAATGGCTTTCTTGGAGCGAACATAACCGAAAAAGACAGTCAACGCCAGGAAAGAGTAAAACAACATGACAAAGAGAATGAAGAAATAGGCGTTGTCATATGGTTTGTATTTTGGTGTTTTCTCCTTCGTGGCATTTTTCCCTGCATTCAGGTCTTTTTCCAGAAGCTTCAGAACACACTGAGAGATGAGAGAGGCTAAAGCTGTGTTGTTCATGTCGCTGCTGCTTTCTCCTAGGAACTCAAAGTTTGCATTAAACAAAAACAAAAACCAGCCAGGATATTTAGGGACTTGGGACCTGATCCCATTCACATTCCTCCTCCCGTCCCCTCTGTCGACCTGGCTAGAAGCAGGATAAGTCCCTTGATTGTTTCCTCTTTTAGCAAGGAATGCTGTGAAGCTCTTAGTGGGTCTCAGTTGCCTGATAATCAGGCATTTCTCAAGATAGGCACTGGTCCAAAGTTAAAGTGGACAGTGTAAACAGTCACCAGCCCAGCAAAGCCAACCTCCAGGCCTTCCTAACATAAATGAATATTTGTGGCTGAAGGAAGATGAGGTCAAATGAAGGATTTGTGTTCTAGACTCAATGGGTCGAATTCTGCTGAAAAACAAATAGGGTTGGACTGGTTTTGGACTGGTCTTCTGAAAGCTTTTATTTTCTGACAACTGTTGAAAGAGCAACTTACCACATCCTGCATATTTGTCCCAAAGTTGGTTGAGATAGAATGTGGTCAGTTGAGATCTTGACATAGGTTGGAGCATTCAATAAGCTCATGGTAAAATCAGTCCCAATGAATAAATCAGTCTGTTCTCACATGAACTGGCCTTCTTCTAACTTTCGCTATAAATAGAGAGCCTAGCTATATCCTACCGTGAGTGCAAAGTCACAATGGCTGTACTTCAAAAAAATGAATGAAAACCAGACTCAAGAGAGGAAAAGTTTTGAATGGTGCTTAACCTTTTCTATGCTGCCTTTTTTCTCTCTCTCTCTACTCCAAATGAATATTTCAAATCCCTTACAAACCTGCAATTAGAACCTGGGAAAGGAACTGCAGGGTTATATTTGGAGTGGGAAAATGGCCACCAGGAAAATTGTTAACTACTCATCCTATTCTCTGCTCAAATTAGGCTCCACCCAAAAGAGTGTGTGTGTGTGTGTGTGTGTGTGTGTGTGTGTGGAGCAGGGGTTGGCAAGGTTTACCTCACCTGGGCCGGTTCACTCCAGTGGAGATTCCTCTGTGGGCCGGATTGTGCGTGTGTGTGAGCATGCACACCCATGATTTCTGCCATCTGCGTCTGCGCAGACATGATTTCTGGCACCGCAGAAGCGAGTCCCCGCGCCGTGCTGCTTTAGCGCAGTGCACAGGGACTCGCCGAGCGGGCGGCTTGGTCTGGGGGCAGCTCGTGGGCCGTTTAAACGACCCCCGTGGGCCACTTGTGGCCCATGGGCCTTAGGTTGCCTACCCCTGGTGTGAAATTATGAAAGTGCATGTAACATGCAGTTTTCCCTTAGATGCCTTGAAAAGAAAACTTTGAAGACAGCCATTATACATGGAAATCTACACCCTGATAAAATTTAAACTCTGAGACCTTAGTCCTAAACATAGTTGCTTTAAATTTCAGAATCAGTGGGTTGGATTCATGCATAGTCATGCTTAAAGGGTTCAACCCTGTGGGACTTATCTGCAAGTAAATATATTCAGCACTAAAGTCTGTATTAATATTATCATTGTTTTCAGTGCAATTATGCATGTGTTCAGACTGGAGGCAGCTTCACACATGTGCTCCAGATGTGATGGTTACTAGTATTCTCTTGGTATGTTGATCCCCATTGTACAGGAATCCAGTGGCTAGAGTAGTGGATTTGGATATTGAAAATCTACACTCAGCTCTGTTGCTATGATACCTGCTGCGTTGCTTTGGCAAGTGGGTCTCAGGCTCAGCCTAACATGCATCTTTCTTGTGAATCTAATAAAGATACAAATCTAATAAATATTAATAATGAAAACAAAGAGGATATGAAGTCATCTTTCATATACACTTTTTTTTCATTTGCAGTGGCTCTGCCAAGCAACTAATAATACTGCTTTAATCAGCAGTTTTACTAGGCCCAATCCAGATTAGGAGACGTCACAGATATTGGGCTGCATCCAGCTAAGTAATACTCAGAGTAAACCTGTTTAAATCAGGGGTGAAGAACATATTTTGGCCAGTAGGCCAGATTCTTATCTCCCAATCCCTAGAGGGTCAAATTTGACAGGTGGGCAGGGCCACTTACCTGACATTCACTTGACATCAGAATGACATCAAGTGACACTGCACTTCGAAGCCCCGACTATCAGGACTTATAGTGCAGGGCTGTTTGAAAGCCCTTTTGCAAACAGCCACACACTACTGCTCTTTCAGCCTCCAGGTTTCAGAGACACCCATGCCTAAAACTCTGGAGAGCTGCTGAAAGTCGGTGCAGACAATACTGAGCTACAAGGGGTACTCCTTTGGCTCAATATAAGGAAGTTTCCTATATTGCTATATCAGAATGTCTATTCACTGCCACTGAGGCCTCTTTTGGGTTTTCCCTCCAAACAATTTCCCCAGACATCTCAAACCTTCTCCGCTTTCTCCTTTTAACTGTGAAGAGGATTGTGCAATATCTCAGTGACACTTCTGAACAGATAGATTCCATGTGTACGGTGTTGGTTGCTTGAAACATGGAATTGTAGCTACAGTTGCGTGATAGCTTCAGTTGCATAGACTCCATGTGTCTACTACAAGAATGGACAAATCTGGAACTCAGGTTTGCCAAGGCAGTGGTGAAGATGGAACGAACCACATACCATATCCATATTGCCTAAGTAACACAACTTCTAAATGTATGACCATTAACAGCTGCAATTTTCTGGTATTCTGGAACTTGAGTGAACATGGAAAGCCCTTAACACAGCATGTTAAACTGAAAAGCTTTGTTGTTGTTAATTTAATTATTATTGCTTTGCTATTATTAATAAAAATCATTCTGGTTAACTAAATTATTATTTTTTATTCTTCTATTTAACAGGCCAGGTTCAAGGCTCTTGTGCTAATATTAAACAGGATAATGTAAGGATGTCATAGACCTTATATATCCCAGCTCCAAACCTGAGATAACCCACTGTTTGTTGTCGCCTGGTATTAAAGAGACCTAACTGGCCTTAGCTGGAAGTTGGGCATTTAGTGTCACCGATCTCATGCTGTGGGACACTCCTCTAGCAGAGATTTGGCAAGCATCCTTGCCATGGACTTTTGTGCCAGCAGGCCTATACAGCTGCTTGAATTTTCTTCTTCGGCCAGTCATTTCAATGGTTATAGTGTATTGTTTTTATGGTATTTTGTTGTACTTGTGAATATTGCACAACGCCTTGATATTTCACATGAGCTGGCAGTATACTTTTATAAATAAATAGAAAATGAATGTATTTCCCACCTTTCCTCCAACCCACCTTTCCTCCAAAGACCTCAAGGAGGCCTACAGAGCCACCCCCTTCCATTTTATCCTCACAACAACAACCTTGTGAGGTAGGTTAGGCTGAGAGAGAAGGAACTGCCCCAAAGTCACCCAGTGAGTTTAATGGTTAAGTGGAGATTTGAACCAGGTTCTCCCTAGTCCTTGTCTAATACTCTAACGACTACACCACATTGGCCTCCATGTAGTAGATGTGTGAAGAACCCTTAGGCATAAGGTTAATTTTGCCCCTGAAGTGAATCACTCTTACTATGATGGTGATTATGATAAACTTATGTAGCAGCTTCAAATGTTCAAAGCATCCCATGTATTATTCTTTTATACAGTCATACCTTGGGTTACAGACGCTTCAGGTTGCGTTTTTTCAGGTTACGGATGCTCCAAAACCTGGAAGTACCGGAACGGGTTACTTCCGGGTTTCAGCAGTCGCACATGCATAGAAGTGCTAAATCATGCTTTGTGCATGCGCAGAAGTGCTGAATTGCAACCCGTGCATGCACAGATGCGCAGCTGCGGGTTGCAAATATGCATCCCACACGGATCACATTCACAACCCATGTGTCCACTGTAATGCATTTTCAAGTTGCAATCCGTACAATAATACCCCAAAGTCACCCAGTGAGTTTTATTATCCCTCATATTACAGGTATTATTATCCCTCATATTGCAAATGGGATGCTGAGGCTAGATACAGTGATTTTCCTAAGGCTGCCTATTGAGTACACAGCGGAGGTAAGATTCAAACTTCCAGTATACCTGAAGAAGCGTCTCCACCCCATCATTCAGCCCTGACACTGAGGTCCAGCTCTGAGAGTCTTCTGGCAGTTCCCTCACTGCAAGAAGTGGTTAAAGGGAACCAGGCAGAGGGCCTTCTCGGTGGTGACACCCCTCCTGTTGAATGTCCTCCCACCCGATGTCAATGAAATAAACAACTATCTGACTTTTAGAAGACATCTGAAGGCAGCCCTGTTAAGGGAAGTTTTTAATGTTTAATGTTTTATCGTGTTTTTAATATTCTTTTGGAAGCCACCCAAAGTGGCTGGGGAAACCCAGATAGATGGGGGGTATAAATAATATATTATTATTATTATTATTATTATTATTATTATTATTATTATTGAAGCTCAGTATTTTTAGCTCTGAGATACTGCACAAGGAACAAGCCACATTTCCTTTATGTGAATCACACACACACAAAAGTCTTTTTCCTCCCACTCAAAACCTGCCTGCTTTCCTTAGGCAAGAAACATGGTATTTTCCTCTTGCTAATTATTAGTGGGACCTCAAAACCCGGCTAGTTTTGTAGTATAACATCCTGCTAGAACCTGAAAGCCTCTGAGATGAAAAGGCCGAGGTTTTCCCTTACATCCCAAGAGTAACGACTTAATGCCGCAATCCCTTGAGCCTTGGGAATATGGAAGCGGGGAAGGGAAGAAATATCCTGCAGGAGAAGTGCTTGTAAATATTTCTGTGGAAATTAAATCCTTGACTGTCAGCGACAAGTGGGTGACATGGAGTATTTTGAGAGAAAGAGCAAAGGGTTAAGTTGTGCTCACTGCAGGCTGTCACAGGTCATGGCTACTTGTAGGATAATGGCAAAGCGCAGGAGGCCTTTGTGGATCCCTGCTTTCTATTGTGTTTTACAGGCTTAAGTCATTCTAAAGTAAATTGTTGTTTTACAAAGGAGTGAAACCTTATCTGGCTGCAGAAAGGAAGGGGGGAAAGAGCTTGGCTGCCACAAATGACTATGCCAGCT